GAGAGAGAGAGAGAGAGAGAGAGAGAGAGAGAGAGAGAGAGAGAGAGACGGAATCATATATGGGGAGAATAATGAAATCCAGTTTTAGGTATGGGGACCAACACTGCGTAGGCAGTGGCTAATAGTGACTGTCTGCACACAGTTAGCAGACAGCCAATAATAAGCTCAGGATTTCTGGATCTAAGAATTAATTCTGAGTAGAATATTAAATTCACGAATTCCCACCCCCCCTTTTTCTAGTTAGGGTCTCAGGAAGTATAGTCTGTTCTCAAACTCACTATGTAGCAGAGTATGGCCTTGAATTCCCTATCCTCTTGCCTCAGCGTCCTGAGTATTAGGATTACTGGCATGTGTCATCATGAATATCTTAAATTATGGATACTTTTAAAGGATGGGACAAGCTCTAATGCCCCTACAAGACTCATTTCCATGGGTTAGAAACATAGTAGGGGGGTGTATTTGTAAAAATGAGCATTCAGAGCAGTTTCTTTTATTAAAGAGGCATGCATTGACTGGCATGCTGAGATCTTTGTGAAGGGCTGAAGAGTCAGGGATGAACAAGTTTGGCACAGCTCTGAGTTACCAGGGCTGCCATGAAAAAGAAATACTATTGGGAATCATTTGTCAAACCACACACTTGTGAGGGAAGAACAGGACACAAAGAGGGCAGTTTCCAGAGTGGTGGTTGTGGGCAGGATATGGTCATTCCTGGAGACGTCTTTGGGGTGGGGTGACATTTAAGCTGGGTGCTGAAACGTAAGCCAGAGCTGGGCAAACGTGTGTGCGAAAGGAGGCAGGTCTATGATGGTGGATGGAATAGCGTGGGATAAGAAGGGAACATCTCGTAGAACTAGAAATCAAACACAGCTGGGAGTGTTCAAAGACTGAACAGGTGGCCAGAGTACTTAGAAATTTACAAGAGCAAAGGGTTGTTGGTAGGCAGAGGTAGGCAGGGCCTGAGAGCAGACAGGCGTCATGTCTCAGAAATATTTCTGCGCTTCTTGTCTGAGAGCAAAGGAGACCAAGGAGGTAAAGGTTGTTTCTCAGTGGGCCGCCTTCTACTCAGTTGGCCACAACGCTCCAAGTCCCCGGAGCTCTGGTCTTGTCACAGGCGGTCGTTGTCACACCATCTTCAGTGCAGG